ACTCCATCTCAAAAAAGAAAAAAAAAATCTAAATAAATTAACATTTAAGAAAATGAAAGATTTGGTTCTTTGGCTGCGTGGGCCACATTTCAAGTGCTCCACAGCTGCAGATGGCCCGGAAATATGGTCTTTATTGCAAAAAGTTCTATCGGTTGGTGTTGGTGCAGCCTTAAAGCCGCTCTCCCACCCCTCCTCGAAGCCAACCACTGTTACGGTTCCTTTGGTGATTCTTTTCCGAGATGATCTATGCACACAATCAGCACGTGGAGTTAATATATGTACCTAATAAAATCAGCATCTCCCGTGTAGTGCAAATGACCATGTAATAGTCCATGGAATGGAATGTATTCAGCTAGTTTCATAATGAAGTGCTCTTGAGTTTTTCCCAGGTTTCCTGTTAAAATTATTCTGTCGAGAACACCATTCTCTCACAGAGTAAATTTTTAACAGTGGAATTCCCTGGCCAGAAGGTTTATATGTTTTTCTCATTTCTTTTCTATTTTCTTTCTTTCTTTTTTTTCTTTTCTTTTCTTTCTTTCCCTCTCACTATTCCCTCTTCCTACTTTTTTCTTCCCTTTCCCCCTCTCATCCTCCTCTTTTTTCTCTCCCCCACTTTTCTCTTTCTTTTACAAGGTCTTCTATTTAATGGCATAATCCTAATTCACTGCAGCCTTGAACCCCTGGGCCCAAGCGATCCTCTTTCCTCAGCCTCCCAAGTAGCAGAGACTAAAACCTGTGCCCCCATGCCTTTCTATATTTTTATTTTCTTTTTAGTGGAGATGGGTCTTACTATATTGTTCAGGCTCGTTTTCATCTTTGTAGGTGCTTTTCAAGAGATCTTACCAAAAGGTACCTGGATAGAACTTAGTCACTTGAAGCTCTTGTCCTTGTGTTGAAATTTTGTGTCTGCCTCCTCCATCCCGGGGAGATTTAAAACTTCTATCCCCTTTTCAGGCAGATCAGTGACTTCAAAAAGTGTACGAATGTTGTGAGGCAAGGCGGAAGGATCACATGAAGTCAGGAATTTGGGCCCAGGCCGGCCAGGAAGGTGAAACCCTGCCTCTACCAAAAATACAAAACTTACATGAGCGTGGTGGTGCACGCCTGTAGGCCCAGCTTCTCAGGAGGCTGAGGCATGCGAATTGTTTGAATCTGGAAAGCGGATGTTGCAGTGAGTCGAGATCGTGCCGCCGCACTCCAGCCAGGTACAAATAGCAGCTTTAGACTTGATCTCGCCAGGCATGACCACTGGGCACGTTCAGCATAGGATCACCGATTCTGCCTCAGTTTTCAGTGTCTTCTCTGGGGCCTGGAGTGTAGCATCTGAAGCCGAGCTGGATGTCTTGCTGCATAAATACTCTCTCCACTTCCACCTGTGCCATCAGTCTGGGTGAAGACTCATGTCAGGGGAGAGCCGTCGTCCTCCTACAGCCCCACCTGTCTGATGGCTGAGACTTCTGCCTCATTTCCAGAACTCCCAGGGGCCCTTGAACGTCTTGTTATTTGCTACATATGCAAGCACAGATTGCCCGTACCTCCCCTGAGACCTTCCTGCCACTCTCTATAGAGCTGCCTGAAGCCTCGAAATGTTTATTTGCCTTTGGAGAAATTCTACTTCCATCTGCCCCAGACTCATCAAAATTACAGTAACAGCCAGCACTCCAACTTTCTGGAGCCTGTTCCAGCAGAGAGGAAGTCTGTTCTTCAAGTCCTCTTTGTAACCCCATTTAAGATGAGGAAACTGAGGCAGATGAGCTCATGAATACAAAGTGCCAGAGCTTGGGTTCAACCTCGAATCCCTGGGCCCAGGGGTTCGAGGCTCGTGTTCAACCTTAGAGTTTGTGGGATTTAAGGTTGATGTTGGAAGCGTTCTGTTTGGCACCCCCTACCCTGGTGTGTGGGGGTTGTGTCCTGGGTTGCCTGCAGAGCCCCAGTTTATGCCTGCTGACCTGACGCATTTGTGACTAGCGTTGTCTTTAACTGCAAAACGTCGTGGTTTGGGAGAGAAATTCTGTGCTCACCCAGTTCACCCGCACCCTGAGGAAGCTCTGACACCACCGCACAGCTTCTGATACATACTGGAGAAAGCCAGCGCTAGGAGGTGCCTGTCAGCAGGAAGAGCTGCAAGCATCTACATCCACATGTAGACATATCTGTACACATACATTCATATACACACATCCATATATATACATGTCTTTACATCCACACACACGTCTGTACACCCACACATTCATACACATGTCTACATATAGACACCTTCATGTACACATCACTGTACACACAATCCATATCCACACATTCATACACACCTATCTGTGTATTTTGGTATAGCTGTATACATACACATCTACACACATCCATGTACAGATAAATCCGTACACAGATGCATACACATTCGTCCACACACATCTGCACATACGTCGGTGGGGATCAGGGAAATACAGCATTAAGTAGTGACGGTCTGATAATAGCTAGTATTGTTTTGACATCTTTTGGGTGAACTGACTAGCTAGTGGCTATCAGAGGGGTGTGTGAGGTGTGTCTGCAGGTTGGCAGGGCCATCAAACGCGGTATTTGTAGTTGCTCGTGGCTTTCCTAGAGGATCTCTCATGTGGAGCCTTGGAGTGTAGTGAGCTGTTCCTGTGGCCCGCCTGCCAATGTCTGCACCAGTGACCAACAAAATTCTGGCTTCACGGGCCTCAAGGACTTTGGATTGTACAGTAAAAAACGCTATATGCCATCATCGGACGTGTCTGGTCTGCAAGTGGAGATCCGTTGCCAGTGGCGGGATGGGAGCTGGAAGAGCCAGGAGGATGTTGCAGTCAGACAGATTCAATAACCAGGGCTGGAGCTGGTGTGCAGCGTAGGTGGCAGATGAGGTTGACTCTAGTCACATTCCATAGCGACGGTCGACTGAGTTCCTGATGGATCCAATGAGGGGGTTGTCAAGGAGAGAAGAGGAGTCCTCTGTGTTTATAACACAGGTTTCTAATTTTGAGAAATCCGGAGTTTAAAAAATTGGGGAAGGCCTGGGCATAGTGGTTCACACCTGTAATCTCAGCACTTTGGGTGGCCAAGGTGGGCGGATCACTTGGGCTCAGGAGTTTGAGATCAGCCTCGCCAACATGGTAAAACCCCGTCTCTACTAAAAATACAAAAATTAGCTGGGCACTGTGGTGTGCGTCTGTCATCCCAGCTACTTGAAAGGCTGATGCAGGAGAATGATTTGAACCCGGGTGGCGAAAATTGCAATGTACCTGGATCCTGCCACTGCATTCCAGCCTGGGTGACAGAGTGAGACTCCGTCTCAAGAAAAATTAAAAATTGCGGAAGAATCGGCATAGAAAGCCATTAGCTTGGCTATCTCCTGCCCTCTCTCTGGTCCCAGCTTGTGTAATCATGGCTGGGCTTGCTGTCCAAGCCTGTCATTTCAGATGACACCAAGGCCTTTTCAGGGCTAGAGAGACCTGCTGCCACCCATGGTCGGCAAGGCTGAGTGGTTTTAGGCACAGCTGGAGATGAAACTGGTGATGGGGGCAGCCCTGTCATCTTTACAGGGAACCTCACACAGCAGGTGGGCAGCAAGCTGGCCTCTCCACATCACTGAGCCATCTGCTGAGTGAGCAGGCCCATGTGACAGGTAGGAGATGCAACTCCCTGTGTCCTGTCTCCTCCGTGACCAGGCTAGGGTGTGGGCCAAATGCCTCCTGATGATCTTCATCACTTCAGTTTCTCAATATCAACATCCCATCTAAGGACAGACTCAGGCTCAGTGTGAGCCCCCAGAACTTCCCACAACCTCCAGCTGTCCCCACAAACCATAAAATAGCAGATTTTGGGTTGTTCTTATTCTCACCCACAATAAGAAACATATGTAAAACATTGGCCTAAAATACACGGGGCATTTAAAACACACACACAGGCTTAGCAGATGCTGGCACTGTGCCAGAGCCAGGGCGGTGACACCAGGGTGTGCCGCTTATGTTTTCTGAAAGATTCTAAGGTAAGGACAGGAGCCGGGGCTGGGGGCACTCGGAGCGGTGGCTGTTGACCACCTCATGTGGGTGTTTGGGAGTCATAAGAGCTGGCCCATTTCCACCTGTCTGTTCTGGATGACCTTCAGTGTTGCAGACGCAGAAGCTTCAGAAGGTGAAATTTATTTAACGACCCATGATGTGTAGTTAATTCTTTTGTCATCTGTCCTATTTGATTTTGTTTCATTCTACTTCTTTTTTTTTTTTTTTTTTTTTTGAGACAGAATCTCACAGTGTTGCTCGGACTGGATGCAATGGTGCAATCTTGGCTCACCGCAGCCTCTGCCTCCTTGGTTCAAGCGGTTCTCCTGCCTCAGCCTCCCAAGTAGCTGGGATTACAGGTGCCTCCTGCCATACTTGGTTATTTATTTATTTATTTGTATTTTTGTAGAGGCGGTGTTTTACTATGTCGGCCTGGCTAGTCTGAAACTCCTGACCTCAGGAAATCTGCCTGCCTTGGCCTTCCAAAGTGCTGGAATTACAGGAATGACTCACTCTGGCCGGCCTCATTCTACTTTATCCTTGGTCCAAGCACAGTGCCCCACACCTATAATGCCAGAACTTTGGGAAGCCAAGGCAAGAGAATTGCTTGAGCCCCGGAGTTCAAGACCAGCCTTGGAAACATACTGAGACCCCTGTTTCTACAGAAAAAAAAGTGGTGTGTATATATATATATGCACATGCACACACACACAAGTTAGCCAAGGTGGTGGCACATGTCTGTAGTACCAGCTACTTGGGAGGGTGAGGTGAAAGGATCGATTGAGTCTTGGAGGTCAAGGCTGCAGCGAGCCACGATCAGGCCTGTCTGTGGGCTGTTGTGCAGGGCACAGGTGTTGACTCTTCAAGGATCCCCCAAGCCCAAGGACCCTGGGGTATTCCCGAGTCCTTTTTTTGCCTGGGGCTGGGGGTGTCGGTCCCTGGGGGCTGACCCTTTCATTTGCCTACTCTCTATCCCTGCAGCACCGATGGAAAGGAAGGAGGCTGGATGATGAGTGGCTTCCCTGGATACCAAGCTGTTCGTGTCAGGACTGTCAGGGCTGCATGCCCTTGGCCTGCTGCAGCAGCGGGGCTGGCTGTGGACCGAATCCCTGAGTATCCCGTATGGCCTCCCGGGTAAGGCACTGCATGCCTGGCTGCGGGGAAGGTGGAGGTGGCAGGGCCTTCCCCGGTTCCTGTGGCTGTGGCTCTGTGAGCTAAAATACGCTGTCACCACAGGATTTTCCATCAGTCATTCTGTGGGCTCTGAGTAGGACTTAGTAGCTTCTCATTAGGAAAAAAAGAATAAAAAGTGTGTCTGTTTAGGGGACATTCATTCATCTCTTAAGACCTCCCCACGGACAGGTTTTAATGGAGTGACGGGCGAAGCAGACCACAGGGCTGGGAGAACACGGCAGAGGCCAGGCTGGGCTTGGGCCTCCTCCTCTTGGAGCCCTGGTGGAGGGCTGCCTGGCGGAGGAGTGTAGGGGTTCTTTGATCGATCCTCACAGCTCAGGCAAAGCAGCCAGCGCACCAGTGCAGCACTGGCCAGAGGCTGCAGACAGAGAGCGGCTCAGACAGCGCCTACAGGCTTGGGCCGGGCCGCACACTCCACTGCACACAGATCCTGGCTTTCAGTCACAAGGCGGGTGCCCCGGCCAGGTGGGATGTCCAGAGAGAGTACCTGAGTCTGGCAAGTGGCGATATGAGTACCCTGAGCTCATCCCCAGAGATGAACTTGCTTCCAATAGCATAGCCATATAGGAATGAATCCAGGGCTGGCACTTCAGCTTCAGTCTTATGTCTATTCATCTAGGATTGCTTCAGCCCTGGAGGCAGAGGTTGCAATGAGTCAAGAATGTGCCACTGTACTCCAGCCTGGGCAACAGAGTGAGATCTTATCTCTAAAATAAACAAATAATAAGTTTACAAAAAAGCCAGTCACAGTGGCTCACGCTTGTAATTCCAGCACTTTGTGAGGCTGAGGCAGGCGGATCACGAGGTCAGGAATTCAAGACCAGACTGGCCAACATGGTGAAAGCCTATCTGTAATAAAATACCAAAATTAGGCAGTCATAGTGGCGGCTGCCTTGTTCCAACTGCCCTCCTGGCAGGACTAGGAACTCTGACCTCTCCACCATCCGGGGCTAAGACCTTGCCCAATGTCAGGGTTGGCGTCCCTCTGACCGGCTGTTGAATGTCACCTCCATAGCCTCTCTGCTGTGCCAGAGTCCCATGGCCACCCACAGGGCAGTGAATTTGAAAAAGTGCTCAGGACTCTGCACACTATGCTGTTCACAGCTGTCATTGACTACAGTGAGAGGAGGCAGGAGTGTTGGCACAGGAAAGGGGGCCGGGGTGGAGTCTAGTGTGCACCACGGGCAACACCTAGTATCGTTTCCCAGTCCCTGTGCCTTCACATGGGACGCACTTGTCTGTCCCAGCACTATGTCACCCAGGGTGTTTGGTGTGGCTGCCTAATTGGCAGGTGCCGCTTGGCTCAGAGCACAGTGTCAGACTCCTAGGAGGCAAGCAGGGGTCTCGAATAAGCCACGTTTGTACAAACAGTTCAGATGCAGAGCACCTTGTATCACTCCTAGGATTGGTGGGAACCCTCCCCCAGTCCAAGTTCCCAGACAAGCTATGAGCAGGTCATGCAGAGGCAGCTCGGGTCTGCTGTGACAACTCACTCGCAATCTCCAGTGCCTGCTGCTCTATTCCTTTTCCTCCACTCCCGCCATCATCTTAATCCCAGGAAGAGGCCCTATCTCTTTGAGGCCTGGGCTGGGCCTCTGAGCTGCCCATAGGCCTCATGGTGGGTGTTGGCTGCCAGTTGCAAGGCCCCTGGCCACACTGAAGGACTCCTACCTGGAAGTGATGCTGCGGCCCCTGGAGGAGGTGTGGAGGGAGTGGGCAGAGGAGGCCATGTGGTGGCTACAGGCCTGGGTGCCCGGGATGCCAGGCAACCAGGGTCCCAGGCCTATCAAGTTGACCCTGGGGGTCATGAAAGGCACCCTGGAGCTGGTGAGTGAGAGCAAGGATGAGATGTGGCTGGCAGTTGAGGATGACCGAGACAGCTCTCACTGTCCCCTCCCTTTCCAGGTGTCCCACCAGATGCTGTCCCGGGCTGAGGTTAAGTTCTCATGGGCACTGAAGAGGCTCTGCAAAGCCCTGCTTGACCTGTATGGCCTCACAGCCAGGTAACGCTGGGTTTGGGGTGTCGCATGCAGCGTTCCCGCCACGTATCAGGTGCAGTGCTGAACGCTTCAACACGCTGTGACTCACTGACTACTTTGACCGCCCTACACAGAGGCTTCTTCACTCCTTATTTCACAGGAGAGAAAATGGGGTTTCTTCCTCACTCCAGAGAGACCTCGTGAGCACAGTCCCAGTGCAGGCAGCATTTTAGGAGCTGCTGCAGAGGAGTGCAGTGGGCAAAGCTGACCCCTGCCTTCAGGAAGCTCAGTTTTACTGAGAGACAGACACGAAGCCCAAGAAATCATCTACAGCAGAGTGTGCACAGCTCCCTGCAGAAAGCCCGAGAGTCCCCTCTTAAGCAGGCCATTCTGCTCTGTCACATTTCCTTGCTTTTGCTTTGTAATCATCTTTTTTTTTGAGACGGAGTCTTGCTCTGTCTCAGTTGTGTGATCTCAGCTCATTGCAACCTCTGCCTCCTATGTTCAAGTGATTCTCCTGCCTCAGCCCTCCGGGTTGCTGGGACTACAGGTGTGTGCACTACTGCACCTGGCTAATTTTTTTGTGTTTTTAGTAGACAGGGTTTTGCCACTCCAGGCTGGTCTCAAACTCCTGATCTTCAGTCATGTAACCCCTTTGGCCTTCTAAAGTGTTGGAATTACAGGCATGAGCCACTACTCCCGACCTGTTATGTAATATTTTAAACACATAAAAGCCCTTCTTTCTTGCAGGCGGTGCAGAAGCCGGCTACAGGCTGGGTGTGGCCCACCGCTCATCGTTTACCACCACTGAGCCATACCTTAGGTGGCAAATGCTTGAGATGGAACATTGGTGAGACGGTGAGCTGGGGATCCTATGGTGTGGCCATGGCCAGCTTTGAGTAGAAGGTACAGTTCAAGCAAGAGCCACGGGGCAAGTGTGGAAAGAGAGCTCCAGGTGGGGGCTCCACTGCACAGGGACTGGAAGAGGGATGTGCTTGGCCTGTTTTTTTTTGAGATGGAGTCTCATTCTCCGTCACCCTGGCTGGAGTGCCGTGGTGTGATCTCAGCTCACTGCAACCTCTCTCAAATTCAAGTGATTCTCCTGCCTCAGCCTGCCAAGTCGCTGGGATTACAAGCATTCACCACCATACCCGGCTAATTTTTGTATCTTTAGTAGAGATGGGATTTCACTGTATTTTCCAGGCTCGTCTCAGAATCCTGGGCTCCAGAGACTCGGTGCAGGGATTACGGGCATGAGCCACCGTGCCTGTCCTGTTTGAATAGCAAGGTGGTGGGGCTGATGCGACTGGGAGGTTCCAAGGCTAGGGGATGAGAGGAGGACTCTGGCTTCTGCACTGACCTACGAAGGTTGTGATCACCCATTCACTTCAAAAGGCCCCTTTTGTCTCTGTGTTGAGAACACGGGGGTGGTGGATAGAAATGGGGAACCCAGTCTAGAGCAGGGGCCTGGGGACCAAATATCCTTTTCCCTCACAGCCATGATGCCCACCAGGAACCGGGCTACAGGCAAGGGGGCCGACCCTTCTTCCATGCCGGTGGCCTTGCAGAGCATCTGGATTCTGACTCTGCCTCTTCCTGGGATGTCTCTGCATCGGCTCTGTGTGCCTCAGTTTCCCCAGCTGTAGAATAGGGACCGGACCCACATCATGGGAAAAAGGCTCCACGTAATACAAGTTCCCGCTCCTGCCACCTTGCGGTCAGAATGTAGGCTGAGGAAGGGAAGAGCTCCCAGGGCGGGGCTTTGGCTTGGTTGAACAATCACCTTCCTGGTTATTCGCCTACCCGGTGAGTGGAATCTCGTGGGGATACCAAAAAATGGATTTAAATGGCAGTGAGGGTGTCGAAGCTGCTTCCCGCCCCCAGCTGCAGGGCCTCTAGGCTCCCTAAAAGTAAGCGAGTCCACCTGCCCGTCCCCCTCAGTGGCCCATCAACAACAGAGCGTGCAATATTTCTCTTCCCACTCCACCCCCACATGAGCCGAGATCTCCCTGATCATTCAGATCTCACAGGCTTGACCCTACTCTACATATTGAGAAAGTTCCAGTCCTCCCCTCAACTGTAGAAATTTCCTAGACCTGTCGGTCAGGCACACTGGCTTATGCCTGTAATCTCAGCAATTTGGGCAGATCACTTGAGGTCGGGAGTTCGAGACCAGCGTAGCCAACATGGTGAAACACTGACTCTACTAAAAATTTAAAAATGAGCCAGGCATCGCAGTGAGCGCATGTAGTTCCAGCTACTCTGGAGGCTGAGAAAGGAGAATAACTTAAACCCAGGAGGCAGAGGTAGCTGGGAATCGAGATCTTACCACTATACGCGAGCTTGGGAAACAGAATGAGATTCTGTCTCAAAAAAAAAAACAATTTCCTACACCTTCCAGCTCCTAGTTTTTGCATCCACACACACAGTCCCCATGCTGCCCAAGACCCAGGGGGCAGATCAGACATGACATAAGATATCTGTGTCATGAAAATAGGGCAGCTTGTTTCTGTCCCGGCGTCACCCACCACCTCCGCTGTCATGCCAGCCTCTGTGCTCCTCCAGCTCATTATGTGATTTTCTAGAACAAGGACAGCCCTCCCCAAGATGCACCCCAATGCTCTCCATGGTAGAGCTCTTCCTGCAGACCTGTGAGCTCCCCCTCTGCAGCCAAAGAAAGCACGGCTCAGCAGCTTGTCCTGCAGGTTCCCTCTAGGAACTACTCAGTGGTGGTGGCGCCGCTGCTGCCTGGGGGTGATGTGGTGTGGGGGACTGGCTACCTGATGGAGGAGAAGCTGCCGTGGCCACTCCGACACCTGTCCAGGGCCAACATGCCATCCGAGTTCTACCGGCTCAGATGCCGCCTGCTGCAGGGTCTCTGGAGGAATGAGTCCTGCCCCGGGCTGTGCCACCCTCCTCCCTGGGAGCCCCCCACCCCGTGGGCACAACAGCAGGGCCATGCAGGGGCAGGAACTGTGGGGGCACAGGGAAGCCTGCAGAGGCCTGTGGCATTACCGTGCCAGGCCCAGAGCCTATTGGACTTCCCAAGGTCCTATGGGACTAGGGCTGAGGCTACACATCCTGCTTTTCTCCAGATTATAAGACCTGGCCCAGCAGTGCAGCCAAGGGCGGTGCTGGGATGACGAGCTCTGGGCTCCCGAGAAGCTTGCCTGTGGCTCAGGTGAGTCTGCTAACATCTGTGGACTCAGCTTCCTTTACTGTGAAATGCAGGTAACCACATGGCTCACTCACGTGGGTAAGGAGCATGTATGGTTCTTAATGCACGAGGGAGCCCCTCATGTCCGTGGGGGAGCCACCGTACCCAGGCTTGGCAAGTAGCGGTTTATCTGTGTGCGACTCACATGAAAATGTACGGCTCCCTAGAAGCATGGGTGTAGTCAGGTCTAAGCAGCACGCTGATCTTGTAAAAAAAAAACAAAAACAAAAACAGCCTGGTCTTGAAGTCCCGTGCGTGTGATCATGGGCTTCTCTGTGCCCCTCAGTTCTGACAGCTGACCGCGGGGCTGGTAGCACCTCCTTTGGGATGCTGGCCCTGGCCAACAGGTGTCTGGCTGTGCACGATGGATGGTGCTTTCCCACCCTGGGCATGAGCACCCCCAAGGCACATCTCAGGGGCTACACTGGCTGGACTGGTGAGACCTGTTCCTTCACAGGCCATCTCTTCCCTACCCTGAACAGGGCTGGTCTGCAGGACACCAGTGTCATGTTTGAGGGAGCCGTTGACCATCCACTTAAACGGTCAATGTTTTTTCCCCACCTGAGCAGCTTCGTTGAGATTAAATGGATGACTTGTATAATTTTTTTTTTTTTGAGACTAGGTCTCACTCTGTTGTCATGGTTGGAGTGCAGCGGTGCGCTTTCAGCTCCCCGCACCCTTGACCTCCTGGGTTCAAGTGATCCTCCTTCCTCAGCCTCGCAAAGTGCTGGGATGGCTTAGCACCACCGTGCCCGGCCGATGTGTGAATTTTAAGTGCACGATTCAGTGGCTTCCAGTTTATTCAGAGTTGTGCATGTCTTACCACAATTGTTTTTAAAAGCTAACAGTCTGCCTGCTGTGTCCATGGCTGTGCCTGCTGTGGACATCCGATGTAAACAGAAGGATGACTATGTGGCCTCTGAGCCAGGCTATGTTACTTAGCACAGCAGTTTTGTAGCGGTTTTGGGGACTCCATTCCTTGTTAGGGCTGAATCGGGCCATAGCCCTTCAGCTCACGTCATCCTGAAGCTGGTGGGGGATCACTGGGCCTCTGGTTGCCACACCAGGGGAGGGGGACTCCTGGTCTCAGGGCAGGCTAAGCCAGGGTTCTAGGCATCGGGGTACCGAGCAGGCATCGTGCTCCCACTGCGGTGGGTGGAGCTGGCTCCACTCAGCGTGCCTTTGTGGCTGCTTCTCCCCAGACCAAGCCCTGGTGGCCGGGGCCCCGCACGTGGTGACTTTTGACGGCCGGGTGTGGGACCTCAGCGTCCAGTGCAGCAGCATCCTCCTGTCCCAAGACTTTGCTCACAGCACATTCTCACGGATGCTGAGTCGGACAGGCTTGGGGCTCATGGCCCTGAGCTTGGAGCTGAACCATGTGACCCTCATCTACTCCAGCCTTTAGGTGAGGAGGAGAGGCCCGAGCTTCCCCTGGAGACCTGTGCCTGTGGCAGGTTGCCTGGGGGATGGCACTTTCAAGCTCGTCCCCTGGCTGTCGGTCATCCCTCCTGCCCACTTCCTCCGGTCCACAGGCCTACAGGCTGTACAACTCCTCCTTGCCACGGGATAGCCGTCCAGACCTCCGGCTGCCTTTTGCCATGAAAAGGAGGGATGTCCCCAGGATTGAGCCGGCCAGTGAGGACGGGGTCTCCTTCTCCTGTGACGTGGCCACCAGCCTCTGCAGCCTGACTGTGCACCTGTTGCACCACAGTTAATCTGGGCCCTGGCAGAGTTGGCCCCACCACCAAAATCCTGTTCGGGATGCACCATTCTCAGCTTCCAGTGCAACAGGTCCCCGAGCTGTAGGCAGCCACTGTGGTTGAGAGGCTGGCACCAAGGCCCAGTGCTTTCTTCCCGCATCCCTTGGATATATGGCTCCAAGGTGGAGTTGGCCTTTCTGTGGTGCCTCTGCCAAGGAACACAAAGGGCAGGCCTGGATTCTGGCCACTCGTGCTCACGATGTGGAGAGGGGATGGGGGGACACATGCTGTCCTCAGTCTCTGTGCTTTCTCTCCTTCTTGTGTTGAGGGTTTGGGTCCAGAGCTCTGGGAGTCTGGGGTGGAGGGATTTTACCAATCCTTCGTGTGCCTGAGGCTCATCTCTCATCCAGGACCCCTGGGGGAGGATCATGGGCTCTCAGGATCACCTCATCTTTCCTCCTCCCCACAGGCATATCCGCTGGCCTTCTGGACACCAGCGACAACGAAGCAGGCACCGATCTGATGTTGCCGGACGGCTCTGTGGCTCACAGCCTGGAGGAGCTCAGCCTGGCCTGGCAAGTGAGCAGGTGCACCTGCTTTTCTTCCCTCTGGCTGAGTGTCTCGAGGGCCGCTCGCTGCAGAGTCCCAGGAGCGGCAGGTGGCCTGCCGGCTCTGCAGTGGTCTTTGCGGACCCAGGGTTGGGTGGAGTCTCCCGCTAAGGCCAATGTATGTGGGGGAGCCACATGGTTCAGCTGCATGCCTGAGTCTTGCGTCTGTCCCACCAGGTGGATGGTGACTGCAGGGCCACCGAGAAGCCTGAGCCAACCTGCCCAGGACAGAGCCCCTCCCGCCGGCCTTCTTCCAGGACCCCTCATCCAGCTTGGGGAACTGCTTCCGGGTGGTGAGTGTGAGCCTGTGCCCTGGAGCACAGCAAGCTCTTTCCCCAATCTACCCTGGGGATTGGCATGGAGCAGAGGCCTAGGCTAGAGACAGTGACTGGGTGGCCCTGATTTCAGATGGAGCCTGCACCATTCCTTAGCCTTTGTGTGCAGGACTCATGTGGCACCTGGGAGCTCCAGCCTGCCTGCACTCTTGCAGCCACCTATATCCACCTCTGTGCCTGCAGCTTCGTGTCCCTGACCCTCCTCCACAGTGCGGTAAAGTGCCCCATCCGGCGGGCACTCTGCCCCCTGGCTGGCATCTGCCTTCCAGCCTGAGGGAAAACCTTTCTCTCTCTCTATCTCTCTCTCTCTCTGTCATCAGAAAGAACAAATAATTGTCATTTAAGGAGCTAAGAGTCTAAACAAATCATTTAAGGCCTGATACAGCCTGGATGTGTGTCTCCTCCAAATCTCACTATTGTTAGAGGGTGTACATCCCTCATGGATGGCTTAGCATCCTGCGTTTGGTGAAGTGTGAGTCCTTGCTCTATTTGTTCAACTGAGAGCAGTTTGTTTATAAAGAGCCTTGCCTCTCCTCTGTCTCTTTGCACTCACTCCCATTTCTGCCACGATCGTAAGCTTCCCAAGGCCTCACCAGAAGGCAAGCAGATGCTGGAGCTGTGCTTGTACAGCCTGTAGAACTGTGAGTCAATTATATGTCTTATTTATGATCTACCCAGGCCGGAGTGCAGTGGCACAATCTCACCTCACTGCAACTTTCACCTCCCAGATTCAAGCAATACTCCTCCCTCAGCCTCCCAAAAATACCGGCAGGTATTTTTGTAGAGATGATGTTTTTTAAGTTGTCCAGGCCGGTCATGAATTTCTGACCTCTGGTGATCCACCTCCCTCGGCCTCCCAAAGTGCTGGATGACAGGCGTGAGCCACCACGCCCAGCCTCACGAGGGATTTGAATGTCTACTATCGTTTAGGGAAAATGCTCAGCCACAGTTTTTCCTCTGCTCTCCTATTTCAAAAATCATCATCAACACAGAATATTACTTCCATGAGCAAACGTGTGGGGATTTGTCTCCACTACCAGGGCGGACCTCTAATTCAGTTCTGACACTAGCTACCTTGAGCTCCTTCAGCCAGCGCTGCATACAATCGCCACAGCCAAAGCCCCACTAAAAGGGCATAAATGTCAGTATCAACAAGAGGAGTGGACTTCCAAGGGCTACGGATGCCAGAATTCGTGGCTGCCATTCGTAGACATTTAAAACTTAATTGGAAAATACAACAAAGGGAGGATGAAATGAGATGATCCAACTCGTCTCAAAGAAATGACAGGCCAGGTGTGGCAGCTCATCCGTGTAATCCCAGCACTTGGGAGGCTAAGATGAGCGGACCACCTAAGGTCAGGAGTTTGAGACCAATCTGGCCAACATGGTGAAAACCCATCTCTACTAAAAATACAAAAATCAGCCAGGAGTGGTTGTGTGTGCTTTTAATCCCAGCTACTCAGAAGGCTGAGGCAGGAGAAACGCTTGAACCGAGAAGGTGGAGGTGGCAGTCAGCCAAGATCTTGCCACTGCACTCCAGCCTGGTGACAGAGTGAGAGTCTGTTTAAAAAAAAATTCCAGAATAAAAACAGAGAGGACCCAGGATCCTTCAGAATCAGGAGGCACAATCCCCAAGACAATAAATCCATCCGTACCTAGACCCATTCAACACAATTGCAGAAACGACAAAGGAAAGGTCCTAAAAGCTACTGAGGAGGGTGGAAAGAAGCAAGAACATGTTGACAATTGCTTTCCCACCGGCAGTAACAGAAGACAGTGGAGTAACAGAAAGTAAGCATGAGATTAGAGATGATCCCCAGGTCAACTATTGCTGAATGAAATAACCTCTCAGCACTGATCTGTCTAGGATCTCTTTACCACAAACGGACACTTACTCAATGGACACATCCACATGTTTATTTATGTACTGTCTGTGTCTGCTTTCCCGCTAAAGGGGCCGAGTATCTGCAAGGGAGACCACATTTTTGCTCTGTGAAAGACTCAATTCGGAGTATGAAAAGGTAAGCTACAGATTGGGAAAAATGTTTACAAACCACCTATTAGACCAAGAACCCATCTTAAGAGACTCATCTCTACAATACATAAATAACTCAAAGCTCAAAAGTAGGCCACAGTTGTATTCCCAGCACTTTGTGAGGCTGAGGTGAGATGGCTCGAAGCCGGGAGCTGAAGGCTGCATGACAGAGTGAGAGCTTGTCTCACAAAACAAAACCTCCAAAGTAAAAAATGGTAAATAAACACATCAACCATGTTTGCACTCCCAGTCATAGAGAAACAAGGTAGCGCTACATATCTGAGCTCGAGTGAGTTCCGGCACGGGTCGGTGAGTCGCAGGGACTCTGCGGCATAAAGCATCAGTCGAACATCCAAACGGCCAGGTTGTGATGACAGCATCCACCGATGAGTGCACTATAAAAAGCACTGTTCTAGTATCAAAACGGTGGTGGCTGCTGTTCCCAGCAGCTAGCCTTAGGCTTAGAGGCAGGAATCGAGGTCACGGTCTACCAAACAAATCCTCTCAGGAAAGAGCATCGTACTCCTGAAGTGCCAAGACAGGAGGTGGTGTGGCTCCACGGGAATTTTGGAGCATCTGGGGATCAAGCAGAAGCACTCATTGTTCTGACCATGTAAATACAAAACCGTCACCTAGTACATCCATAAACAGAACGTCTGGGACGACAGGCATCTCATAAGATTTCTAGCCACAGGGTAACAATAAAGAATTGTCTGCAGTTAAGGTCCTCGGTCTCCCTCTTTGGGTCAGTCAGGCTGTTTGATTATTTCTTTCTTTCTTTATTGAGATGCAGCCTTGCTCTGCTGTCCAGGTAGAAGCGCCGTGAATCTATCTCAGCTCACTAAAACTTTCTCCTTCCAGGTTCCAGCAATTCCCCTTCCTCAGCCTTCTGAGGAGCTAGGATTACAGGTAAGTGCCAACATGCCTAGCTGATTTTTTTTTTTCAGTCTAGACGGGGGTGAATCATGTTGTCCAGGGTGGTCTCAAACATCAGATCTCATGATCTGTCTCCCTCGACAACCTCTACTACTGGGGTTAAGGGTGAGAGCAATCGAGTATGGTAATGGTTAGGGTTAGGGTTAGAGT